CCCAGCCTCCCTCCCTCTCTCCCCCCCAGCCTCCCTCCCCCTCTCCCCCCCCAGCCACCCTCCCTCTCTCTTCTCCAGCCTCCCTCCCCCTCTCCCCCAGCCTCCCTCCCCCTCTCCCCCCCTCCAGCCTCCCTCCCTCTCTCCCCCAGCCTCCCTCCCCCTCTCCCCCCCAGCCTACCTCCCTCTCTCCCCCAGCCTCCCCCCTTCTCTCTTCTCCAGCCTCCCTCCCTCTCTCCCCCCAGCCTCCCTCCCTCTCTCCTCCAGCCTCCCTCCCTCTCTCCCCCAGCCTACCTCCCTCTCTCCCCCAGCCTCCCCCCTTCTCTCTTCTCCAGCCTCCCTCCCTCTCTCCCCCAGCCTCCCTCCCTCTCTCCTCCAGCCTCCCTCCCTCTCTCCCCCAGCCTCCCTCCCTCTCTCCCCCAGCCTCCCTCCCCCTCTCCCCCAGCCTCCCTCTCTCCCCCAGCCTCCCTCCCTCTCTCCCCCCCAGCCTCCCTCCCTCTCTCCCCCCAGCCTCCCTCCCCCTCTCCCCCAGCCTCCCTCTCTCCCCCAGCCTCCCTCCCTCTCTCCCCCAGCCTCCCCCACCCACTACCGCCCACCACAATGAACACCAACAATTAACACCCCGCCTCCCCAAACCACCGCAAGTTGCAACATTAAAATCGGACTGGGTGGGACTCTTGGCCTAATTGTCTGCGAGTTGGAACAACTTCCATCGTAACGACCCGACTGGCCTTGCCGCCGGCTCTCCAAGTCTCCACCTGCCGGAGTAACTGCCTCTTGGCTCCAGTCAGCCAAGAGCTCCAGTCCCTCTGGGCTAGTCACGCAAAATTTTTATTTTTAAGTTAATCCGATTGGAAGCTTTTTGCAACATGTGTTACTTTATTTTAACATGGATTATCACAGGAAATATGAGTACATAATGTTAAAATTAAGTGCAGTTAAAGAGGTTTATGAAATATTTAAGGAGCCATTTGTGTTGTATATACTCGTTTAATACGTTGTTCTTATCACATACTACCGAGTCCTTCTCACTTTCTTCACGTCATCAGTCCTTCTCCTTCCCATCAGCCTTTCTTATTCTAAAGCTGAGAAGTGAACTGCTTTACTACCTTACGAAGCTGTTTAGTGCGTGTCAGGATCCTTCCGTGACACGTCCCCCTCTCGAGTCCGTGTCTGTGGTATTCCCCCGCCGCTGGGGACCTCTGGGGTGATAATACCAGCCTGAGGTGTGTTCCCCCGTCGCTGGGGACCTCTGGGGTAATTATACCTCCCTGAGGTGTCTTCCCCCGCCGCTGGGGACCTCTGGGGTGATAATACCTCCCTGAGGTGTCTTCCCCCGCCGCTGGGGACCTCTGGGCTGATAATACCTCCCTGAGGTGTCTTCCCCCGCCGCTGGGGACCTCTGGGGTGATAATACCTCCCTGAGGTATGTTCCCCCGCCGCTGGGGACCTCTGGGGTGATAATACCTCCCGGAGGTGTCTTCCCCCGCCGCTGGGGACCTCTGGGGTGATAATACCACCCTGAGGTGTCTTCCCCCGCCGCTGGGGACCTCTGGGGTGATAATACCTCCCTGAGGTGTAATTCCCCGCCGCTGGGGACCTCTGGGGTGATTGTACCACAATGAGGTGTCTTCCCCGTCGCTGGAGACCTCTGGGGTGATTATACCACCCTGAGGTGTCTTCCCCCGCCGCTGGGGACCTCTGGGGTGATAATACCTCACGGAGGTGTAATTCCCCGCCGCTGGGGACCTCTGGGGTGATAATACCTCCCTGAGGTGTAATTCCCCGCCGCTGGGGACCTCTGGGGTGATTGTACCACAATGAGGTGTTTTCCCCGTCGCTGGAGACATCTGGGGTGATTATACCACCCTGAGGTGTCTTCCCCCGCCGCTGGGGACCTCTGGGGTGATAATACCTCACGGAGGTGTAATTCCCCGCCGCTGGGGACCTCTGGGGTGATAATACCTCCCTGAGGTGTAATTCCCCGCCGCTGGGGACCTCTGGGGTGATTGTACCACAATGAGGTGTCTTCCCCGTCGCTGGAGACCTCTGGGGTGATTATACCACCCTGAGGTGTCTTCCCCCGCCGCTGGGGACCTCTGGGGTGATAATACCTCACGGAGGTGTAATTCCCCGCCGCTGGGGACCTCTGGGGTGATAATACCTCCCTGAGGTGTAATTCCCCGCCGCTGGGGACCTCTGGGGTGATAATACCTCCCTGAGGTATAATTCCCGCCGCTGGGGACCTCTGGGGTGATAATACCCCCCTGAGGTGTATTTCCCCGCCGCTTGGGACATCTGGGGTGATAATACCTCCCTGAGGTGTAATTCCCCGCCGCTGGGGACCTCTGGGGTGATAATACCTCCCTGAGGTGTCTTCCCCCGCCGCTGGGGACCTCTGGGGTGATAATACCTCCCTGAGGTGTAATTCCCCGCCGCTAGGGACCTCTGGGGTGATAATACCTCCCTGAGGTGTAATTCCCGCCGCTGGGGACCTCTGGGGTGATAATACCACCCTGAGGTGTCTTCGCCCGCCGCTGGGGACCTCTGGGGTGATAATACCTCCCTGAGGTATATTTCCCCGCCGCTGGGGACCTCTGGGGTGATAATACCTCCCTGAGGTGTCTTCCCCCGCCGCTGGGGACCTCTGGGGTGATAATACCACCCTGAGGTGTCTTCGCCCGCCGCTGGGGACCTCTGGGGTGATAATACCTCCCTGAGGTGTCTTCCCCCGCCGCTGGGGACCTCTGGGGTGATAATACTCCCTGAGGTGTATTTCCCCGCCGCTGGGGACCTCTGGGGTGATAATACCTCCCTGAGGTGTCTTCCCCCGCCGCTGGGGACCTCTGGGGTGATAATACCTCCCTGAGGTGTCTCCCTCCGCCACTGGGGACCTCTGGGGTGATAATACCTCCCTGAGGTGTCTCCCTCCGCCACTGGGGACCTCTGGGGTGATAATACCTCCCTGAGGTGTAATTCCCCGCCGCTGGGGACCTCTGGGGTGATAATACCACCCTGAGGTTTCTTCCCCCGCCGCTGGGGACCTCTGGGGTGATAATACCACCCTGAGGTTTCTTCCCCCGCCGCTGGGGACCTCTGGGGTGATAATACCTCCCTGAGGTGTAATTCCCGCCGCTGGGGACCTCTGGGGTGATAATGCCACCCTGAGGTGTCTTCCCCCGCCGCTGGGGACCTCTGGGGTGATAATACCACCCTGAGGTGTAATTCCCCGCCGCTGGGGACCTCTGGGGTGATAATACCTCCCTGAGGTGTAATTCCCCGCCGCTGGGGACCTCTGGGGTGATAATACCTCCCTGAGGTGTAATTCCCCGCCACTGGGGACCTCTGGGGTGATAATACCTCCCTGAGGTGTAAGTCCCCGCCGCTGGGGACCTCTGGGGTGATTATACCACCCTGAGGTGTAATTCCCGCCGCTGGGGACCTCTGGGGTGATAATGCCACCCTGAGGTGTCTTCCCCCGCCGCTGGGGACCTCTGGGGTGATAATACCACCCTGAGGTGTAATTCCCCGCCGCTGGGGACCTCTGGGGTGATAATACCTCCCTGAGGTGTAATTCCCCGCCGCTGGGGACCTCTGGGGTGATAATACCTCCCTGAGGTGTAATTCCCCGCCACTGGGGACCTCTGGGGTGATAATACCTCCCTGAGGTGTAATTCCCCGCCGCTGGGGACCTCTGGGGTGATTATACCACCCTGAGGTGTCTTTCCCCGCCGCTGGGGACCTCTGGGGTGATAATACCTCCCTGAGGTGTAATTCCCCGCCGCTGGGGACCTCTGGGGTGATAATACCACCCTGAGGTGTCTTCGCCCGCCGCTGGGGACCTCTGGGGTGATAATACCTCCCTGAGGCGTAATTCCCACCGCTGGGGACCTCTGGGGTGATAATACCACCCTGAGGTGTCTTCGCCCGCCGCTGGGGACCTCTGGGGTGATAATACCTCCCTGAGGCGTAATTCCCACCGCTGGGGACCTCTGGGGTGATAATACCTCCCTGAGGCGTAATTCCCACCGCTGGGGACCTCTGGGGTGATAATACCTCCCTGAGGCGTAATTCCCACCGCTGGGGACCTCTGGGGTGATAATACCACCCTGAGGTGTCTTCGCCCGCCGCTGGGGACCTCTGGGGTGATAATACCACCCTGAGGTGTATTTCCCCGTCGCTGGAGACCTCTGGGGTGATTATACCACCCTGAGGTGTCTTCCCCCGCCGCTGGGGACCTCTGGGGTGATAATACCACCCTGAGGTGTATTTCCCCGTCGCTGGAGACCTCTGGGGTGATAATACCACCCTGAGGTGTCTTCCCCCGCCGCTGGGGACCTCTGGGGTGATAATACCTCCCTGAGGTGTATTTCCCCGCCGCTGGTGACCTCTGGGGTGATAATACCTCCCTGAGGTGTAATTCCCGCCGCTGGGGACCTCTGGGGTGATAATACCACCCTGAGGTGTATTTCCCCGCCGCTGGGGACCTCTGGGGTGATAATACCTACCTGAGGTGTAATTCCCCGCCGCTGGGGACCTCTGGGGTGATAATACCTCCCTGAGGTGTCTTCCCTCGCCGCTGGGGACCTCTGGGGTGATAATACCTCCCTGAGGTGTCTTCCCCCGCCACTGGGGACCTCTGGGGTGATTATACCTCCCTGAGGTGTATTTCCCCGCCGCTGGGGACCTCTGGCGTGATAATACCTCCCTGAGGTGTCTTCCCCCGCCGCTGGGGACCTCTGGGGTGATAATACCTCCCTGAGGTGTATTCCCCCGCCGCTGGGGACCTCTGGGGTGATTATACCACCCTGAGGTGTATTCCCCCGCCTCTCATGACACCTCCAGGTGCTTCCATATTCATGATTTTGACAAAAAATTAATTGTACAAAATAAAATTCGATATAGCCAATAAAACAGGTTTTAAGGACCATATTGTGCAAATTGTGCAACAACAATCAGTATTTCGCAATTTAGCACAGTTGCAATACCGCCCAAAGCTCGTAATGGTTGGGTAATCTCAAATAAATTGGCCATGAAATTGTTACACAGCTACGTACAAATTGTTATGTTATGGAATTGATGTGGTTTGTCTTAGTTGTGAGTGGGATGTCTACGGTACTGTACCACATGGCTACGGTACTGTACCACATGGCTACGGTACTGCACCACATGGCTACGGTACTGCACCACATGGCTACGGTACTGCACCACATGGCTACGGTACTGCACCACATGGCTACGGTACTGTACCATATGTTTACGGTACTGCACCACATGGCTACGGTACTGCACCACATGGCTACGGTACTGCACCACATGGCTGCGGTACTGCACCACATGGCTACGGTACTGCACCACATGGCTACGGTACTGCACCACATGGCTACGGTACTGTACCATATGTTTACGGTACTGCACCACATGGCTACGGTACTGCACCACATGGCTACGGTACTGCACCACATGGCTACGGTACTGCACCACATGGCTACGGTACTGCACCACATGGCTACGGTACTGCACCACATGGCTACGGTACTGCACCACATGGCTACGGTACTGTACCACATGGCTATGGTACTGTACCACGTGGCTACGGTACTGCACCACATGGCTACGGTACTGCACCACATGGCTACGGTACTGTACCACATGGCTATGGTACTGTACCACGTGGCTACGGTACTGCACCACATAGCTACGGTACTGCACCACATGGCTACGGTACTGTACCACAAGGCTACGGTACTGTACCACATGGCTACGGTACTGTACCACATGGCTACGGTACTGCACCACATGGTTACGGTACTGCACCACATGGCTACGGTACTGTACCATATGTTTACGGTACTGCACCACATGGCTACGGTACTGCACCACATAGCTACGGTACTGCACCACATGGCTACGGTACTGTACCACATGGCTACGGTACTGCACCACATGGCTACAGTACTGTACCTCATGGCTACGGTACTGTACCACATGGCTACGGTACTGCACCACATGGCTACGGTACTGCACCACATGGCTACGGTACTGCACCACATGGCTACGGTACTGCACCACATGGCTACGGTACTGCACCACATGGCTACGGTACTGTACCACATGGCTACGGTACTGCACCACATGGCTACGGTACTGCACCACATGGCTACGGTACTGCACCACATGGCTACGGTACTGCACCACATGGCTACGGTACTGTACCATATGTTTACGGTACTGCACCACATGGCTACGGTACTGCACCACATGGCTACGGTACTGCACCACATGGCTACGGTACTGTACCACATGGCTACGGTACTGTACCACATGGCTACGGTACTGCACCACATGGTTACGGTACTGCACCACATGGCTACGGTACTGTACCATATGTTTACGGTACTGCACCACATGGCTACGGTACTGCACCACATGGCTACGGTACTGCACCACATGGCTACGGTACTGCACCACATGGCTACGGTACTGCACCACATGGCTACGGTACTGCACCACATGGCTACGGTACTGTACCACATGGCTACGGTACTGCACCACATGGCTACGGTACTGCACCACATGGCTTCGGTACTGTACCAAATGGCTACGGTACTGTACCACATGTCTACGGTACTGTACCACATGGCTACGGTATTGTACCACATGGCTACGGTACTGTACCACATGGCTACGGTACTGTACCACGTGGCTACGGTACTGCACCACATGGCTACGGTACTGCACCACATGGCTACGGTACTGTACCACATGGCTACGGTACTGCACCACATGGCTACGGTACTGTTCCACATGGCTACGGTACTGTACCACATGGCTACGGTACTGTACCACATGGTTACGGTACTGCACCACATGGCTACGGTACTGCACCACATGGCTATGGTACTGCACCACATGGCTAAGATAACTGCGAAAAATGCACCTCACGTCGCTGGAAGACAGAAGAGATAGTGGAGACATGATCACTACCTAAACAATTATCAGAGGAATTGACAGGGGTATATAAAGATGAAATGTTTAACTCAGGTGGTACTCGAACCAAGGGACACCTGGGGTGACAATACCACCTGAGGTGTATTCCCCTCGACGTTGACCACAACAGGTGAAAACTGAGTACCCAAATTAGCCGCAGACGCGTTAGAAAGAACTTTTTCAGTGTCAGAGTAGTTAACAGGTGAAATGCATTAGGCAGTTATGTGGTGGAGGCTAACCCCATACGCAGTTTGAAATGTAGATATGATAGAGCCCAGCAGGCTCAAGAATCTGTACATCATTTTATTAACAGTTGAGAGGCAGGACCAAAGAGCCAGAGCTCAATCCCCGCAAGCACAACTAGGTGAGTACACACACAAACACACACACACGCACCCACACACACACACACACACACACACACACACACACACACACACACACACACACACACACACACACACTCACACTCATATTCACTAGCTAGCGCGCGCAAACACGAGGACACAAGAGAAAGGGGAAGGGATACACTAAGCCTACTGGACTTTATCTTCTTGAGGTTATCTTGAGATGATTTCGGGGCTTTAGTGTCCCCGCGGCCCGGTCCTCGACCAGGCCTCCACCCCCAGGAAGCAGCCCGTGACAGCTGACTAACTCCTAGGTACCTATTTACTGCTAGGTAACAGGAGCATTCAGGGTGAAAGAAACTTTGCCCATTTGTTTCTGCCTCGTGCGGGAATCGAACCCGCGCCACAGAATTACGAGTCCTGCGCGCTATCCACCAGGCTACGAGGCCCCTCTACACCCAGAATGAGGAAGACATTGAGAACTTAGAGCATGAAATACCACCAGGAGCAAGTGGCCGTTGTGTCCCGGTGTTACACTACATGATTGAACTCAGAACAGTGCCCATAAGACAAGGAGTCAGAGAAGGTAGAGCAAAGTATAAAAAATGACACTTTATAAGAGTAAGAGTAAAAAGTGTCAAAAGGCACTTTGGTACTTTTGGTGCCAAAAGAAAAAAGTAAGTATCTTGAAAGTGGTCAATGGGAGGAGGACCTTAGAGGGAAGACGGTCCAGGAAATGATGGACCAAGTAAAACTGAGGTGCAAAGAGACAGAAGAGAGTCATACCACCATTAAGGGTAAACAGTAGGAGAACATATAATAACCCGGGGGTCAATAGACAGTGCCAGGAGGCAAGAGCAAGCAGCAGGAGGGAGTGTAGGAAATACAGAAGGCAAAGGACAGACATGAACCGGAATAGATGCAACAGAGCCAGGAATGACTATATAAACATAAGAAAATTGGCAGAAAGTTTGAAAATGATATTGCCTCCAAAGCAAAGAGACAAGCGAAACTCCTACATAGACATATAAGAAGGAAAATAACAGTGAATGACCAAATGACCAGGTTACGAAAAGGGGGAGACCAGTATACAGAAAATGATGAAGAAATTTGTGAGGAGCTCAGTGCCAGCTCCATGGAGTGTTCACTGCTGAGCCCGAAGAGCTCCCCGAGCTAGATGAGGAAGCAGCCCGTAATGAGAAACTACTAAATACTGAGGTAACAGCGGAGGAAGTAACAATACAACCAGCATCACTAGATATAACTAAAGCTACTGGGCCAGATAGAATATCACCATGGATGTTATAAGAAGCAGCACAGGCCCTCAGCATACCTAGATCAGCACTGATCTATCATGAGTCACTCACACAGGGGGAATTGCCAAAATGCTGGAAGAAGGCAAATTTGGTGCCAATCTATAAGAAAGGAAATAGAGAAGAGGTGGGTAACTACGGACAAGTGCCGCTCACAAGCATCCCTTACACAGTACTTGATAGAACTGTAAGGTTAAGACTAGTTGCACACGTAGAAAGAATTAGGTTTGTAAGTAAACAACAACACGGCTTTAGAGCAGGGAAATAATGCCTGACAAACCTCCTGGAGTTTTAAGATAAGGTAACGAAAATAGGGCAAAATAGGGAAGGCTGGGTAGATGGCCTATTTCCGGGCTGCCAAAAAGCCCTTGATATAGTACAACACAGGAGGTTACTATACACACTTGAGAGACAGGCGGGAATAGGCGGCACTGCATTAACATGGGTAAGGAATTACCCGATAGACAGGTGTCAGAGAGCGACAGTGAGGGCGAGGAGTCGGACTGATATATAGTAACAAGCGAGGTGCCTCAAGGAACGGTGCTGGGGGCCCATACTATTCCTCATTTATGTAAAGGACTTGACTGAAGGAGTTGAGTCTTATATGTCAATGTTTGCAGACGATGCACAACTAATGAGGAGGCTTGAGACAGGTGAGGATTGTTAGATTCTCCAGGACAACTTGAACAGATTACATAGCTGGTCCGAGAAATGGCAGCTAGAGTTCAACTCCAGAAAGTGTAAGGTTTTGGAAAAGGGGTTCAGGAGCCAGGAGGCTGAAAGGACGGTACATGATGAAGGGGAACTACCTCCCTATAACGTCTAGAGAAAAATACATGAAAGTGAACATAACACCAAACCTAACTCCAGAGGCTGATATAAATAGAATAACGTCAGCCGCAGTCTCTACTCTAGCAAAAGTCAGAACATCCTTCAGAAACTTGAATAAGGAGACTTTTAGATCACTGTATACCGCCAGTCTTAGAGTATCCCGTCCCATCACGAAGCCCCGTCTTAAAAAAGAGATTGAAGCTTGAGACTCAGATATGTCATAGAGATGTTAGGAAGTTTTGTTTTAGCGTAAGGGTAGTGAGTAAATGGAATAACCGAAAGGAGCAGGTTGTGGAGGCTATCTTGAGGTTACCTTGAGATGATTTCGGGGTTTAGCGTCCCCGCGACCAAGCCTCCTTTTTGTTACACATCCCCGGGAAGCAGCCTGTAGCAGCTGTCTAACGCCCAGGTACCTATTTTACTGAAAGGTAACAGGGGCATCAGGGTGAAAGAAACTTTTTGCTCATTTGTCTCCGCTTTCACCGGGGATCGAACCCAGAACCTCAGGACTACGAATCCAAAGCGCTGTCCACTCAGCTGCCGGGCCCCAGTAAGGCTAACTCTATTCATAACTTTAAAAGCAGGTATGACAGGGAAATATGCCAGGAGTCATTGTATTAGACAACCAACTACTAGAAAAGCGCGGTCCAAGAGCCAGAGCTCGATCCTGCAGGCACAAATACGTGAGTCTACATGGGAGGGGGGGTTGCCTCGCGGCTGAGTGGACAGCGCTCTGTGCTCGTATTCCTATGGGCCCGGGCTCGATCCCCGGCAGAGGCACAAACAAATGGGCATAGGCAGAGTTTCTTTCACCCTGATGCGCCTGTTCACCTAGCAGTAAATACCTTGGAGTTAGACAGCTGCTACGGGCTGCTTTCTGGTGGGGGGGGGGGTGTCTGATTATAAATATATAATATATATATATATATATATATATATATATATATATATATATATATATATATATATTAGTATATTTTGGTAGCAGTCTTTCCTGTAGACATATATTATTAAATATGACCGAAAAAGTAAGATTAATAATTCTAACACGAATTTACTCAATCTTTCGTACATTACGCTTCACTGTTGGAGGTAAATCAAAAATCACTTCTCCAAAATTCATTTTTATTTCTAGTCTGACGCGACACGGGCGCGTTTCGTAAAACTTATTACATTTTCAAAGACTTCACAAATACACAACTGATTAGAACGTATCTCTGATTTTATATCTACATTTGAGTGAGGTGGGAGGGGTGATGTGGCATTAACACAAGACAGAACAAGAGGGGATATTAATAGGGTATTAAAAGTATCAACACAAGACAGAACAGAAACAATGGGTATTGAATAGAAGTGTTTGTAGAAAGCCTATTGGTCCATATTTCTTGATGCTTCTATATTGGAGCTATATTCTACCCACCTCAAGACTCCGCTCCAATATAGAAGCATCAAGAAATATGGACCAATAGGCTTTCTACAAACACTTCTATTCAATACCCATTGTTTCTGTTCTGTCTTGTGTTGATACTTTTAATACCCTATTAATATCCCCTCCTGTTCTGTCTTGTGTTAATGCCACATCACCCCTCCCACCTCACTCAAATGTAGATATAAAATCAGAGATACGTTCTAATCAGTTGTGTATTTGTGAAGTCTTTGAAAATGTAATAAGTTTTACGAAACGCGCCCGTGTCGCGTCAGACTAGAAATAAAAATGAATTTTGGAGAAGTGATTTTTGATTTACCTCCAACAGTGAAGCGTAATGTACGAAAGATTGAGAAAATTCGTGTTAGAATTATTAATCTTACTTTTTCGGTCATATTTAATAATATATATATATATATATATATATATATATATATATATATATATATATATATATATATATATATATATATATATATATATATATATATATATATATATATATATATATATATATATATATATATATATATATATATATATATATATACATATATATATATATATATATATATATATATATATATATATATATATATATATATATATATATATATATATATATATATATATATATATATATATATATAAAATATGAAGTAGATATAATAGAAGAAAATAGGCCGGGAACCATTACATTTGACAACCGACAGTTAGAAAGGCGGGGTCCAAGAGCTAACAGTTCGAGCCTACAGACACAAATAGTAAACGCAAGTTGTATATATATATATACAATGTAAGGAAAAAGGAACAAAGTTGTAAATGTACGAAAACTGAGTTTTTCTTCAGACTTTCACGGTGAAGGGAGAGACGCGTTCAGGACAGAAAGGGGAGCTGGGGCACCCGCAGGCTCCAGCTCCCCAGCCCTGGACGCAAGTACGCAACCAATGTCGCACAGCTGGCAACAAAAAAGAGTGGGTCAAGAGAAGCTTAACCCACTTAACTTTCCACCC